ATAAACAAATACCGATGAGTCAAGGAGTGATACATGTGACTGTAACATACCTCCCCACCAACAGAAATGTGGGTCCACGCACATTAAAACGAACATCAGCGAAATTGAAACAAACGGATAAGATGATGAGTAGAGAAAAAGAAAAAGAAAAAAGAGAGAAAAACAGTTGTACGAATGCCGATACGAGGAGAAAAAGAATAAAAGAAAGAGAAGAAACGACAGTATAATAGCATTATGAAAAGCGAAAAGAAATAAAAAAACAAGTAAGGGCGAATACGATGTGTATGACGACTCAGCTTTACGAGCTCGTTTTGCAATCTACGAAACGATATTGAGAACAATGTTTAGGCACCATTTGCACAACGAGTTCCATTTGAGGAGCGAGAAAAAAAAACGATTCGACGAAGAGAATTTGCGTTAAAATTCACGATTGTTGATAAAGGGTGATCCATAAGTCTTGGGCCCTCTCAGAAAAAATTGTTGTTTTCTATTTATTACGAATTCAAAAAAGCTCAAAATTGGACATATGATCCCTTGTAACATGGTGAATATTATCCTAAATTTTCATGTGTCTAACCCGATAAATAAGCGAAATACATAAGTTAACATTTTACAGAATTTTTTCCCAATTTCACAAAAACGCAACAAAACACCGAGGATTTGCGTGAAAACAAATGGAAACTAGCACAATCTCAAAAAATTAATGATACACAACGATATGGAAGAATAAGAAGTGCCAAAAAATTATTACGAAAATTTGGATCTAAACCAACAAGATCAAACTCAAGGTGGAAACGTTTAATAAATTCAGATTTTAGTGGTCGTATAAATTTAATACAAAAACATAATTCAAAAAATGATGTTATTTGGTCAAAAGATAAAACAACAATTCCAGCTGAACTACTCACTGTCGGTCAACAAAAGTATTGTCCTGGTGTTATAATATTTGGCGCCATTTCTTCACGTGGTTTAATTCCAAAAGAATCACCAATTTTTATTGATGACTGGTTAAAAACAGAATGCGAAAAGCTTGGCAAGAAACGACATACTATGGATAGATTTCTGTATATAAAATTAATAGAAAAAGAACTAAAACCTCATATTGATATGATATTTCCTGACGTAAATGTTATATGGCAAGATGATGCCGATTCGAAGCTTCGGTCATCTTATGCATTGAATAAAATAGATGAATTGTTCTATGAACGTATCACACCTGATGAAGAAGCTAGTAAAATGGCAGATATTTGGCCAATAGAAAATGTATGGGGACATATTAAAGAGAAAATCGATGGATGTGAAATTACAAATATAGCAATGTTGAGAAACAAAATTGTAAAGATTTGGAATACAATAACTCCGAAAATGTGCTCAAAATTAATTAATTCGATTCCGAAAAGATTACAATGTCTTATCAATAAACAAGGGTATCCGATCAACAAGAAAGATTATAATAACATGATCATTTAAAATTATGTATTATTTGCTATTGAATTTTTGTGAAAATTGATTGTCGAACACTTTACTTGCCAATAAAAATACGTTTGTTGGATTTTTGTGAAATTGAGAAAAAATTCTGTAAAATGTTAACTTATGTATTTCGCTTATTTATCGGGTTAGACACATGAAAATTTAGGATAATATTCATCATGTTACAAGGGATCATATATCCGATTTTGAGCTTTTTTGAATTGGTAATAAATAGTAAACAGCAATTTTTTTTGAGAGGGCCCAAGACTTATGGATCACCCTTTATAAATTTTTAAATAGTCTTCGATTGTGAAAGATGTACAATTGACACGACTGGAGAAAAAAGAAATGAAAATGTTTTCATCTGTAATCTTGCGAGTTTTCTTCGATGTAGTCATAGAAATAATTGTCAATTTGATATCGAATGGAAAAAGTCAGAAAAAATTAGTTTCAAATAGCATCATTGTGTTACGTAATATCATATAGTAAAAGCGACTCCAGATTACGAAGTAATGCAATGGTTTTAATGAATGTGATTGAAGTTTTGAAATGATGTTTAGAACCAGTAGCTAATATTGTACTACTTGCAAATATTAATCCAGAAGCAAAAGTACCGCTGGTAATACAAGTCGAGGTGTTATTCGTCGAAGTATATAGGAATCCCGTCTGGATGAGTATCGATAATAAAAAAATTACAAGATAAACGAAATATTCGATCGTAAGTTGCAGAAATTGTGTTAATACAGTGAAACGTATTTTATTACTGTGAGAACTCGATTTTCTATTTGAAAATAGGCTCGGCCGCATTTTCGTCGGACTCGACAGATTATTTGATAGAAGTGATTGCAAAAAATTGAAATTTGTTGATCGACCACGAACGCAATAATTAGATCGTGTGCATGACTTATGAAGAGGTGAAAACAATAGAATCTGTTCTTGAATTTGAAATTTCGATTCACAGCAACGATTCGGTTTGAATGCCGGTTCTGGCAGTGAGTGTTGATTTTCAGGTAGAATAGCGTATTGTGATTGTCGATCACAGAAAAAGCTTTGTTCGTATTCAAGCAATTGCTTGAGATCGGAGCTTTTGTTCTCAAGTTCAATTGGATTTGGAACGTAAGAGTGTTCAGAACTAAATTTCTCGGTAAATATTGATCGTTGTGATTTTATATCGTGAATATGCCACGATTCAGTGCCTACGGGCCAAAATACATCAGATCCAGCTTCGATATTTTTCTGTTGAATTGATAGATTTTCTTGAGGAGCTTGTTCGATGAACAATTCTCGTTGCGATTTTATTTCATGTATATGCCATGATTCGGTTCCGTCAGGCCACAGTGAGTTCGATTCAGCTTCAGCTGTGATTACAACAGTGTCTTGTAGCTGTTCAGTATCGGAAAAAATTTCTTTGGATTTAATGTAGGCACCTTTGTGACAGTGATGATATTCATATTGACTGCGTTGTCGTCGAAGCAATTTGTCAACTTTTTTTGTTTCGACTGGTTGAATGAACAGAAACCAGCTTTTCCATAAAACTTTTTGGACTCTTTTTCGTTCGTTTAAATCAGTAATGTCTTTAAGTGCCTCATCGATTCGTGGAGCGATATTTCTACAATCATACTGTAAAATCAACGAAAGGGTCGAAAGTTGTTTTCGTGATATGACAGGTGCAGCTTTACGGTTTTGATGATAAGGATTCTGTTCGGTAAGCTGTTCAAGAAGATTTCGACGATCGTGTGAGTCAGCACATCGGGGACAAATAAACGTTTCTTGCTGTAACCGAATCTTTTTAGTAATTGCTGCATTAAAGCAAGTGATACAAACGGTATGCGAACACGGATTGATCTTGTACGTATGCATGTAAATACAGTCAAAGCAAACAGTATCCAATTGATCGAAACGTTGTGATATATTGTTTGTTGGTTGCTGATATGTGCTATGCCTTGAATCTGAGAATTGCGACGACAATACCAACGAATGAATACAATGGTTCACTTTCTTGGAGTAAAGCACACAAAGAAAGCCGGTCACGGTACCAAATATTAGAGGTTTCCCTGTATCTTCTCGATGTTCGTTTATTTCCAGATTGTCTCCCCTTCACCAAGTATAGGGAGAGATATATAGAGAGAAATAAAGCATCAAAGAATGCGAAATGAATAAACAAATACCGATGAGTCAAGGAGTGATACATGTGACTGTAACACGCATCAAACCACATTGCGAACCCACCAACTTTTTTAATTGAACTTGAAATTTTTTTGAAAATAGCTTTGACTATGTCTTACATTAGAGGTCATTTTGTGTTTTTTCAAAAACCTCACTTTCTTTTTTCTGTGAGATAGTTACGTAAATCTTCGAAGCCAAATCTGGAGTCTTGACGTGCAGAACTCTCTATATCCGGATAAGAAGACTCAAAAAGAAAAGAATCCATTTTATCTTTGGAAAATGGTTCTAAACAGGGATGGAACTGGTATGGGTCAAGATTTGACACCGACAGGTCTATTTTATTAAACAGAAACTTATTCAAAATCACTATTCAGTCTTAATGATATCTCGTAGAAAACACATAATGAACTTTTGATTGAAGTTGACCAAATTCAGACTGAACGATCTGCCGTTCAACCGATCATTACTGATGCAACGGTTGTGACTGGCCGACCGATCGAGCAAAGTTATAGGAGGAGAAAGGCTGCAAGTAGGTCAGCTGGAGAAAACTCATACTTTACGTTACATTAATAAGAAAAGAATTTTATCATAAAAACACAAATGACAACTTAAAAAGCATACAGATGGTAAAAGCGTCATATCACCTGAAAAATACATTTTTGTTACCATTCTGTAGAGAATCAAAAGCTGCATAGCATCTTAAAAAATTCAGCTTAATTAGGTTTGATTAAAAAAATGTGAGATTAAGATGGTCGATGACAGTACTTGGAAGAACTGAAAATGTACCCATGATCTAGATCAACATCAAACATAGTAATCGATTCATTAAAACATATGTCTAATTGAAATGAATTTGGAGATAGATCAAATGAATCAATTATCAAAACAAATAATCTTTCAAAAATTTGATATTCTCTATTCCTTTATCATCAACATCATTTGAACAAAAAATATTGAAAATTCTCAATGATTATAACAAAGAAAATTTTTTCGTTGAGATCCATTGAAAGAAAACTCATCAACATCCTTATTGATCAATTCAATCATTTGGAAAAATTATCATTTGAATATTTCTTCTCTAATGATTTCATTTTATTCCAAATGACATCAACTTCTACTTGAATTAGATCATCAAATAATAGGTTAACAATTGATTTCTAGTAGATCCATTTTCTTATTCAATAAACAAAACATTCATGTTCAAATCGAGTCAATTTATATAAAATAGAAGCAAAGAAAATGAATCTGTTGAAGATTGATTGTCATTCTCTCAAACAGCGAAATGAAAGAATATTCATCTAGTAAAAGATCAAATCTCTCAAAGTCGTTTGATTGAATGAAACGATGAATGAAATGTTTTCAAAATGCGTATTTGTTCGTGATCATTGATCGATGATAATGAGAAATATCTTTCTTAGCTCATTCGTTGATTATCAATGCACTTTTAGAATATTTTTCTCTTTAAAGATATATTTCTCCGCTTTTCCAATTCAGTGGAATAATTTTTTCAAATGATTTTCTTTTTCTCAACTCGATTTCTCAATTGGAAAGTTTTGAAGACCTATCATCCTCTGTCAAAACCTATCATGTTAATTACCGACAATCAATATGAACCATCGAAAACGATCACTTATTACTTTCCTTCAATCAAGTTGAACATTATTGTCCTGGATTTTTTCGAGAAAATGCGAGGACTTTTTTTAAAGATTGATTATTTAAACAACTGGAAGTCAATGTTACTGATTAGCAATGGATCTGCTATTGATATAAAGAAAGTACGATATTTTCAATATCATTCACTAGTCTTTTTCAATAAGACTGATTTTTCTTTTTTCAGTCAATTCACACGATGAAAATATCAATGAAAAAAAAGTGACGCCTCAATGCAATGCATTACAGAAAACATCCATACGCGCCATAGAAACTATGGCAGCACATGAAAAAAACTAATCTCAAAGGTAGCTGATCAACTATTTCGTTCGTTCTTTTCGATTTTGATTTACCCATTTTCAATCATCCATCAATTGTTATTGCAATGATTTATCAGTAACATTATTAAACGTCGATATTCAATAGTGACATCGTCCGTTTCATCCAAAGTATTTTGATATATTGTTCGATGAATTATAGTTTTGCAAACGTGCCATATCATTTCGATTTTTCGTATGAATTCTCTTTGTTACCTAGATGTCTCTAGTGTATTCTTATCGTAAACTCAGACCAATAGAATTCAGACATTTGGCACACAAAGGAGTAAGACTGTTACAAACAGTAACTCAATACATTTATCAAATTTATCATTTAAATGCAACATATCAGCAGGTAAATCAATGATTGGTGTTGATTAATTTTTAGATAATCCAATCTACATATTAGTATTAAATGATACTTTATTATGCGACATAAACTGTTTATTTTTCTTTCAATGTTAATTCCTGTTTTCATTGCTTTTCTATTTACTTTTCCTCGTTATACCAAACAAGACGATGTCAATATGCTGCAAAAATACTTAACTATAAAACAAGATCTTTTGCCTATCATGACATTTAATATTCGTGTAGATATACCCGAACGTGATCCAAATAATAATTTTACAAAGAGAATCTATCGTTTAACTGAAACAGTTGAAAAATGGCAGCCAGCTATTCTCAGTGTACAAGAACCATTTACCGATCAATTGCAGCATTGGCAATCTCATTTACCAAGATATTATCAATCGATTGGCTATCAACATGATCGTACTAATAGTAGTATTCAACATCCATTATCTCATATGAATTTTCAAGTTGCTATTTTATACAATAATCAAATATTAAAATTACTAGAACAAGATT